GTGCCACTGCACTCCGGCCTGGGCAACAGAGTGAGACTCTGCCTCAAAAAAAAAAAAAAAAGAAAGAAAAAGAAATAACAATAATACTCTAGGATTTCACAAAAGAGGAAGAAGGGATGAAGTCAGTATAACCCTGATACCAAACAAGGCAAGGATATTACAAAAAAAAAAAAAGCTACAGATTAATATCCCTCATGCACATAGGGATATTAGCAAATTAAATACAGCAATGTACATATTCAGGAAAAAAAATACATCATGATCAAACAGAATTTGTCCCAGTAATGCAAGGGTGGCTTAATATGAAAAAAAACAAAAAATCAACATGATATACCACATTAAGAGATTCAAGGAGAAAAACCATGTACCATCTTAATCTCAATAGATGCAGAAATGGGATTTTCATGACAAAAATTCTCAGCACATTAGAAATAAAGGGGAACTTTATCAACCTAATGAAGAGCATGCAAAGATAGAGTGGAACAGGAAAAATCTGTCGAGTAAATTGGGAGGAAGAAGCCAAGATGCAGCAGAAAATTCTGGCCAGTGGGTCTCATGCTAAGAGAGCAGAGTGTTTCAACAGGGAGAAAAACGATCCACAGTATGATATGTTGCTGAGGCAGAGAAAGAAAAGGACAGTAACATATCCATGGAGGTCACTGGTGGCCTTGAAGAGAGCAGACTCGCTGCATGGGTCACTCCACTTTTTACGACCCACAGTGTTGCTGTTACTGTGCCTTAGAACTACTTAACATATCTCCATTCAAGAATAAAGCTGTGGTCAATGATTATTTATTGACTGAATTAATCAATACATGTGTCAGCCTCTGTTTGGCAGTCCCAGATTAGATATTCCTCCCCTGCTTAGAGTGAGGATTGTTAAACTTGAGTCTAAGTCTATTCAAGCTCAGGAACCAATCCTGACATTGGGCAGGTAAGATTTTAAAATGACGAGGAGGAAGCTCAACAGACTTTCTTTCACATTACTGACTTAAGCCACAAATTCTGTTTCTCATTTGCCACATCACTTAAAAATGGCCAGACAAGTTTTCACCAGATTTGGTGATTGTATCTGAGATGCTCTGACTTAAATATGAACTATGAAAATTAGTAAGAAATTAATTTCAGGAGAACCTAGAGAACACCCCGAAAAGAGGGCTTGTCATCTTAAACACAGCAACTGAAACTGTGAAACAAAAAGGCAATCTTAGGTACCTGGTGATCACACAGACTAAGAAACCATCAACCAAGTAACAAATAGTGGTTCCAACCATAACGAAGCAAATCAAGTCACAGGATGGACAATATGAATTGCAGGATTCATTTATTAAATGGTGATGAATCACCTTCCTAAGCAGCTCTGAGAAATCAGATCAGTATAAATAATAATTACAGCTATCATTTATTATGGGATTATTATGTGCCAAATATATGCAATAATTATAAAATTAATAATCTCATCTAACTCTCATAACTCTGTGAGGAAGAAAGTATTGTTATCCCTAAGTTAAAGATTAAGAAAGTGGGATGCAGAGACATTAAAAGACTCTGCAGAGTTGCTTGGCTAGAAAGTGGTAGGTTCAAATCTACGTTGTTCAATTTCTGGGTCTAGCCTGACCTTAGGCTTCAGATACGGTAGGAGGACTCTGTCTTTTGGGCCTGAGCTGCTTACAAATGTACCAGTTCCTCTGGGCCTGGGGCTCTGCCTTGAGCCTCCTCTGTAACATCTCATCCCATCCAAGGAAATTAGAATCCCACCTACAACCCTCTCAAACACCTGTTTTGCTAACAGGCTTCCCTGCACCCTATCATAAATGTACAGTTTTGCTGTAAAAGCTTAATTGTCCCAAGGCAGGTGGATCACCTGAGGTCAGGAGTTTGAGACCAGCCTGACCAACATGGTGAAACCCCGTCTCTACTAAAATACAAAAATTAGCTGAGCATGGTGGCAGGTGCCTATAATCTCAGTTGCTTGGGAGGCTGAGGCAGGAGAATCGTTTTAATTCAGGAGGGAGAGGTTGCAAAGTGCGAAGATCGTGCCATTGCTCTCCAGCCTGGGCAACAAGAGCAAAACTCCACCTCAAAAAAAAAAAATGCGGCCAGGCATGGTGGCTCACGTCTGTAATCCAAGCACTTTGGAGGCCAAGGCGGGTGGATCACCTGAGGTCAGGAGTTCAAGACCAGCCTGACCAACATGGTGAAACCCCATCTTTAAAAAAAAAAAAAAATGCTTAATTGTTACTAATTTGCCTGCACTCACTACTTGTCTGAAATAAGTTGGTATAAGCTAAAAAAAAAAAAAATAAAGGCAAATCTAGTTGAAGAATAACAACTAAATTCTTTATCACAGTGAGATAAAACATTGTACTTCAGGCAAAGAGCCAATCCATTCTGTCCCACCTCTTTTTTCTGAAACTGAGTTTCACTCTTGTTGCCTGAGTTGGAGTGCAATGGTGTGATCTGGGCTCACTGCAACCTCCACCTCCCGGATTCAAGCAATTCTCCTGCCTCAGCCTCCTGAGTAGCTGAGATTACCAGGCACGGGCCACCATGCCTGGCTAATTTTGTATTTTTAGTAGAGATAGGATTTCTTCAGGTTGGTCAGGTCTCAAACTCCCAAACTCGGGTGATCCACCCACCCTGGCCTCCCAAAGTGCTGGGATTACAGGCATGAGCCACTGCACCCGGCCTGTCCCACCTCTTTCTAATAAACATAGCAGAAATAATGAAAAACAGTATCTGGGAAAAATAACATCTGACAAAAACCAGAGAGACAAACACCCTTGGCCATCTTAGGATGCAACACAAATCTCTGAATTTGGCAGTATAAAGTTATTAACTCTTCAAGTGACAGAGACATTACAACATGACCCTCTTTTAGGAATACTTCTTGCAGCCAGTCAGCTCAGCATAAAATTTCAAACCAGTTATGACAATGATTGTACCTACCTTGCTAAAAGAAAATATGAAGAACTGAGAGGCAGCAGATCTCATTTGTATAGGCCCTAACAGGTTCATAGTAGCAATGGCCACTGGGGTTCCAGTAAATGTTTAACAATTAGCTCTCTGGAGGAAAAGGCCATGATTTGTAGGTTTGCTGATTTCCATGGTGTAAATACTCCCACAATGGCAGATTTCATGAAGGTGACTAATACATACAATATGGGGCGGAGATATACACAGTTGACTCTCAGGAGTTGGTGTGTGCAGGGTCCTGTCCACTGCTGCCAATTCCTAATACTTAATGGTTACATACTGTGTGCTGGGTATGTTCTAAATGCTTCATAGTCATCCTCTGTGAATCCTTGTAATAGGCCAATGGGGCAGGTACTATTTTATCCCTATTTTATAGATGAGAGGAAACTAGGTGTGGAAGAGGTTAATTAACTAGTCAAAGGCCACATAGCTTGTAAGTGTTAAGACCTGGCATTTGAATCCTGGTAGTCTAGTTCAGTGGGCCATGCACACAGCTTGTAAGTGTTAAGACCTGGCATTTGAATCCTGGTAGTCTAGTTCAGTGGGCCATGCACACAGCTTGTAAGTGTTAAGACCTGGCATTTGAATCCTGGTAGTCTAGTTCAGTGGGCCTTGCTCTCAGCCCTTCTTCAATACTGCCACATTTCGTAGGTGGTTAAAGAAGATATTATGATTATCCAACACCCATCTTACAGATGATGTGTTGCTAAAGACTGCTAGTAAAGATTAGGCTCTGGGCTAAGCACAGCAGCTCATATCAATAATCCTAGTACTTTGGGAGGCTGAGGTCAGTGGATTGCTTGAGCCCAGGAGTTCAAGACATGCCTGGACAACATGGTAAAACCCTGTCTCTACAACATATACAAAAAATACGCTGGGCATGGTGGTGCGCACCTATAGTCCCAGCTACTTGGGAGGCTGAGTCGGAAGGGTCACTTGAGCCTAGGAGGTCAAGGTTGCAGTGAGCTGTGTGATTGCAACCACTGTACTCCAGCCTGGGTGGCAAACTGAGACCCTGTCTCAACAACAACAACAAAAACAACAAAAAGAAGCAGGCAATGGGGTAAAGAGGAATGACCCACATCAACCAAGGAAGGGTGTTTGTCCTTCTCTCTCCCAATAAATTTGAACTCATCCCTCAAGGCCCATGTCAGATTTTCTCTCTTTTTTCTTTCCCAAAGATAGGGTCTCATCTCACTCTTGTCCAGACTGGAGTGTAGTGGCACAATCACAGCTCACTGCAGCCTTGACCTCCCAGGTTCAAGCGATCATCCCACCTTAGCCTCCTGAGTAGCTGGGACCACAGGCATGTGCCACCACACTGGGCTAATTTTTTGTATGATTTGCAGAGACTGGGTTTTGCTACATTGCCCAGGTGGGTCTCGACCTCCTGGGCTCAAGTAATCCTTCTGCCTGAGCCTCCCAAAGCACTGGGATTATAGGCATGAGCCAGTTGCCTGGCCCAGATGTTCCCTCTTTAGTGGCACTTTCCCTAACTCCCAGAGTTGTTACTCCCCAAATATTTTGTCTTAAAAAAAAAAAATTATTTTTTTCCATTAGAAAATAAAAATATGCTCAAATAATAAGGAAAATATCATAGAAAGCAAAAAAATCTCTCTTTCAATGAAGAAAAAAAAAAAAATCTCTCACAGTCCCACCTGCCACTCATAGCACTGATGTGTATTTATACTCTTGACCTCAGTCCCTTATAAAACGATTCTCTATTCATGGGTGAGCATCTCCTGGGAAGATTATCAGTGTTACCCACATTTGTATCTACCTTTCACCCCATTCCCACCTGATCTCCACCCCTAGCACAACACCCAACTCACAGCTGCCCCCCAGTTAACCTAGATACTTTATTCTAATCCATAAAAGTTAACACTGAGCTTTTCATGTCCAGCTTCAAAGCTGTCCTAATCTTAAGTGAAGTTGGTTTTCTTCATTTGTCTTGAACACATATTACTACATGCCAACCCTGTGTGTGGCAGACAAGGGCCGCTCCAGCGGGCACCTGCTCTTACCTGCATCCCTCTCATCTTCTGGAAGCGTGCTATGGTGTCGCTGATGGTGTAGACACGCACGTGGCCCATGTGCAGCTTACCAGAAGGATAAGGGAACATGGAAAGCACGTAAAATTTGGGCTTTGATTTCTAGGAAAGAATGACAATGAGCATTTATTAATCGTTTTCTGGAAACTCCACATGTATATATAATATTTTGGCATTTTACGCAAAGTAATAATTTAACATTTTTGAGGTTTCCTTTTTAAAAGACTGTTCCCAGAGTGTAAATCAACTAAAATGTCCAAAAGCAAAATTTAAAGCCTTGGTTTAAGCTAAAGAATGTCCAAAATAATGCCAAATAACCTCTAAGTGTTAATTATCCATATATCTAAATTTTTTGTTCTTTTAAAAACTTCTCTTTTAAAAGGAATGAATTAATAGCATTTGCAGTGACCTGGATGAGACTGGAAACTATTATTCTAAGTGAAGTAACAGAGGAATGAAAAACCAAACATCCTATGTTCTCACTGACATGTGGAAGCTATGGTATGAGGACACAAAGGCTTAAGAATGATACAATGGACTTCGGAAACTTGGTGGGAAGTGTGGGAGTGTGGTGAGGAATAAAAGGCTATGAATAGGGTGTCGCGTATACTGTTCAAGTGGTGGGTGCAGTATACTTATTCGTGTAACCAAATACCACCTGTACCCCAATAACCTACGGAAAAAAAAGTGGTGCCAATGCAGACCCCAAGAGAAGGTTCTTGGATCTCAGGCAATAAAGAATTCAGGGTAAGTCAGTAAAGTGAAAGCAAGTTGATTAGGAAAGTAGAGGAAGAAAAGAATGGCTACTCCATTAAAAAAAAATACTTCTCTTTTAAGACAGCTTCTGTCTAGGTCCTTAAAGAACTGTCTGTTTTTCCAAAGGAAGCTCTGACACATGTATCTATACAATTCAAGGAAACAATCATTGAATCACATAGATGTAACATCTTTAAAACTGGAGTCCCTTCCTAAATTCTCTACAGCTGCATTCTGATGTAGATTTAGCAGTAACAACAGGATCCTAAGGTACCAATTTGGGTCCTAGGTTTCCCCATTGTATTGTGAGCTTATCTTTAAACAAAAAATGTTGAAAAACATTTTTTAAAAAGGGAGAAGGTTGTTGTTCTCCAGGGATTATAAATAAGCAGCCTCAGATCAGGGTTATATAACTCTCCAGCTTCCAAAGCAGCAGCTTCATCACCAGAAACACAGAAAACTTTACATGTACCTGCACAGAAGGAATGCAGGCCAATGACTGACTTCTGACCTCTTAATTCTTCCCCTGGTAAAATGATGAAAGTTGTCATGAGTATGCACATGAATGGATGAGGCAAACAAAGATGGTAGTCCTTGAATGGACTCCTACTGGGGAGACCTACTGATCAAGGGCAAGCACTGTGCTTTAGTCACCTCTTTCTCCACATCTGCCCCAACACCAGCAGGAGTTTAATAAAATGTTGGATAAATGTTCATTGGCCTTTCTGCCCAAAAGCTTGATAACTGGCCCCTGTGGAGCACTTTTTACCCAGCGAACTTCACAAATCCTATCCAGGTAATAGGAGGGTTCCCCATACCCAAGTTTAAGTCATCTCATGACAGGGTCGGGGGTGGAGGGGCTGGAGAGAAAGGAAGAGCAAAAGGTAACTGGGTGACTGCTTCTGTTTGGTCACTGAGGGTCAGAACTTCTGCTTTATTTATTAATTTATTTCTGCCTTCTGTTTTTTTCTTTCTGGCCTTACTCTCTTCCTAGAGCTTTGCTAGAGTTCTTTAAGAATTTGCTTCCCCCAAAGTTATGAAAACAAACACAAAACAGAATACTCATAACCCTTCTTTTGTGAACATATGTGGGAGGGGCTTTTTAAATATCGTTTGCTGAGTGTTCGCATGACTGACAATGCACTTAAACCAAATATAATCAGTAGAGCAGAAGAAACCAGAAATGAGATTTTTGCCAAGGAGTTCTTAACTTCCTTCAGCAAAGAACTTAAACAAATCTTTAATAGAACCATTAGCAAGCAGCAAAAAACAAACAAAGAAAACCCCACAAAAACTAGAGTAGGACTTTTCTTTGTGCTGCCCATCCTCTAGAAATTACCAAGGAGTGTTAGCTGCCTGAAGGAAGAAATGGGAAAAAGAGAACAATTAGGAAATCTGGATCATACACAAACTAGAAAATCATCTGGAAATGCTGAAATGACAACTACAATGGAATTATACAAAGAGGATGGAAAGCAACACAATGGGCACACACTTTAATTAGAAACTGCAGATTTATAACTCTGAGGAAAACCTCAGAAGTGTGAGAGAGGACCCGAGATTCAAGGACTGGTGGGAACTCAGGAACTTAATAACTGTCCTTAAGAAAATGAGTGGCAGATGACCTTCGCAGCTTATGAGCAAGTCCCTCCAAGGAGATACAAGACTCATTCTTGTACTTACTGCAGAATCAGAAGAAAACTGTCCACTCAATTCAAACCTTACTCTTTACAATGAATTAAGCCTAAGGCTTATTCTTAGGACATTTTTAGGAATATGTGAAAATAGCTGTTAAGAGTCCTTTGGGAGTTAGAAAAACAGTAAAATCCTTGATCAAAGCTGTTTCTGTTTTTCATTTTAAACTTTTTACATACAATTTTTTTATTATACTAATATGTTTATTTGATTACACATGTAACAATCTTGCCCCAAACATTTTCCACTTGTAATTTCTTTACTAGCATCTCCTTTTTTATATTTGTTCAATAAAGATTAAATTAATAGCAAAATCAAATGAATAATTATATACTAGCTAAGACAAAATCCAAATCTGAGTTCATAAAAGATACATAGAAAAATATTGTTTTCTAAAGTCTTTAATTTTGAAGAATATTTTTGTTTATTACAGAAAAGGTATTCAGCTTAATGCCTGTCCCTGCCTTTTTCTTTTCTGCATGAATTAAGTCATTTTCCTCTGACAATGAAATGAGTTCTATCATCTGGGGGTGGAAAAGAGAGAAATGATGGGAGTTTCTGTTATAATTGAGAAAGAATCTGATTGAAAGGGAAATTTTCATAATTATATAAAAGTGCAAGAATTCCTTTAAAATAGATCAAGATTTTAAGTGATGGGGAAAGGATAGCTTTTATAAGTGGGTCCTATTATTTTTGTCAGTTTCTGACTTTAGAAGAAAGATGACTTCTGCCTCTTTATAGATCATGCTCTGAAGCTGTTGCTGAGCCTACAGGATGACAGAGTAAAAGGAGCACCCCAGTAGGAGTCTGGAGCCCTAGTTCTGGTCCCAGCTTTGCCACTAGCTGTGAAGCCTTAGGCAAATGCTTTTGCCTTTTGGGATTAGTTTGCTATCTGTAAATCAAAGGTGAGACAAAAGAAGGTTCTGGGTGAAAAAGCACGAGTTCAGGAATCAAACACGTTTGATTTTGAATCCTGGCTCTGACATGTCTTGGTACACTACCTAAACCTCTGTCTGAGCCTCGGTTTTCTTACTCTAAAAATGAGGATAATAACACTATCCCCTGGGTTGTTTCAGGATTAAATGAGATATCAATTGAAAGATAGTGCCTGGCACATGGTTAAATGCTTATTAAATGGAAATTCTTTTTTAAATAATAATTACGGTGATGGCAAGACAATCCATTTCAAAAAACTCATTTGAGTGGATTTCAGGTGAATCTAATACCACAGTGAGATCGATTATAAATGCTTCAAAATCCACCTGCATTCCGTCACAGTCTCAGCTCCTGAGAGATACACCACGTTCTGATCTTCCGGTGTCTTTTACTTACATACCACTTCAGTTTGTAAAATGCGAAAGTCACACATTTTCTCATTTGATTGTCAAAACAGTTCTGTGAGACGAACAATAATGCAAGGAGCCCAGAAAATGTTAAATGATGTGGCCCGGATGATGCAGGTTTCCTGGGGCAGAACCACATTACAGCCCAGGCTCTGGCTCTCTCACTGAGTGCTCTACTTTGCCATTCCTTGATTCAAATCCTGGGGATCACACACAATGCCCCTTATGCTATACCCCCAATTACTGAAAAAATTTATTTTGATCCATTTAACATTTTTAAAAACCAGAGGCTTAAGAAGAATGAGATGTCACAAAATCAGTACGCTACAATGTTGAAATGTTTGGAAGTTAATAAATGGTAATCCAAACAAAAGGAAAAAGAGCTAATTTTACTGTCCTCACTCAGAATTAAACTGCTCCTTAAGAGTTTGTTTTCAATTATATTAAGTTATATTGGTCTGATGAGGTTGACACAAGGGCTTTTCACTTCCTAACGAGGTAAAAGTCAAGCTTTCATTGTAAAATTATGCATTACATTCAAACCTTCCTTTTTTAAAAAAATTTCATTTTACTTGTTATATACTAGAGCTTTCTCAATAGCAATTTTTCTTTCTAACCTTTGCCCAAAACCATCTTTCAGTTTAACACAAATAGCTCCCCTCCCCTCACTCATTTTTCACAACCACCAGTCTCATAGAAAGAACGAGTGTGATCACAGAATCAGGAAGGGGGAAAAGGCAAGTCGAGAGAGGTGTGGTCTTGTGCAGCTGTACTTACTCAACTGCTTGCCTTGGGCCTAATCTCTTTATTAAATGTAGAGCATTTGTATTATTTGACTATAACTACCACAAAGAGATATTAAGAGTAAAACTCTGATCTGATCAGCTTCAAACATGTCATGTAACAAATCACATCTCCCACCTGTCATTTTGACCATTATGAAGAGGTAAGGGTTAACACATTCCAGACTGATTCCCAGCACATTAGCCTCCCAGAAAAGGAAGAGAGAGCACTCTATGGAAACTGGCTGCAGCCAAGTATTATACTTCCACAATGAATTCAGGTAGAGTGTCGAGCTAGTGCACCTGTGCAGAAGCCAAGGGTCCACTAACCCATGTAGCTGCTACCCTAAAGTTAGACCCTACCCCAGATCACAGCAGTGGAAGGACTGGTATCCCCCAAACCATGATGCTGAGGCAGCAGAACAGAGTTGGAGGCTAAGGTCCTGCCAGGGAAAGGGCAGATACTTCTCAAACCATGCAGCAGCGAGGAACCAAGGTGCCTCTCTTGGAGTCTCAGATATGACCCTGCCAGATCCCTGTGTGCTGCCCCACCATGCAATGGACCACAGAGGACCCAACATCTGGTAAAGCTCCTATTTTGATGAGCTTCCCCTAGGAAATGTTGCTCTAGAACACCTAGTGTGCTGCTGTCTGCCATATACCTCGTGCACAATATTACTATGTGTGCATCCACCACACTGGAAACTCTTCTAAGCACTCTCCTTCTGTCACCTCATTTGTGCCTCCCAATCCATTTACCCCTCCCAATAGTGCAGGTGGGCACGATTATTATCACTCTCCATTTCAGATAAGAGAATTGAAGCACAGAGAAATTCAACAATTTGGTTCAGGGTCACATATTTAATATCTTATTTGAACCAGGTAGTCTAACCCCAGTCCAAACCCTTAGCCCCTCTTCTCTACCCTCTAAGAATCGCTCAGAATACTCACATCCGTTTCTGAAATTTTGGAGGCCTGTTCTTTTATTCGTTGATGCCACCATTTCTCAACATCCTTTCTGGTCTGCAGTGTATACTCTTTTGTCCACTTTCCCGTGGCACTATAGATACTTCTAGTACATCCGGGAATTACTCTTTCCCACTTGATGACATCTGGCCCACCATTTAACTGTCTTTTCAGAAGAGAGGCATAAAAACTCAATCTCTGCCAAGCTGAAGCCATTCTTCAGAAGGTGGGAAAACCCTGAAAAAGAGGGTAGAAAGCACACGATGAGCTGCCTCAAACCCTCCCCAGAGCTTATTTTTCCATTCGGTATAGTCCAGTGTTCTGACCCTGTGCTTTCCTCTTACTCTTTTAATGGTTTCTTTCCCTGAAATACTTTAGCAATTCAATTGAGCTAAACACAAATTTTTTAATAGAAAATATAAAGCGTCAGTGACCTCTAATATCAACAATGTAAAACTCCTGTAGGAAAAAATGGAGACCATCAGCTGCAGCTCCTGCACAACCTCAAGCTGCACGGAAGGCATGGAGTGCCCTACCTCCCCTCCCAGTGGGCCAGCCCAGGGACTCTCCACCAGGCTCCACCTCCTATGTCTTCGAGCCTCAGAACAGCTCAAGCACATGTTGGGTTGGCCTTAGACTCAAACATCAGAAGGGGTCTAAATACAGGCCTCCCGGGAGGACCAGAAATTCTGAACTATTATTAGCAATTTTTATACATATTATAAATTAAATATGCAGTGTAGGCTGAGCCAGAAAATAACCGTTATTTAGAAGACTATTAATTCATTTAGTTTCTTCTCCATTTTTCAAATATTTACTTACTTACTTTTTTAGAGACAGGATCCTGCTCTTTCAGTCAGGCTGGGGTGCAGTGGTACAAGCATACTTCAATGGAACCTCTGACTCCTGGGCTCAAGCAATCTACCTGCCTTAGCTTACCAAAGTGCTGGGATTCCAGGCATGAGCCACCAGCAAATATTGACTGAGTACCAGTAGGCCCACACATTGCTCTAGGCACTGGGGATACAGCAGCAAACAAAAACAGAGTCCCTTCTTTGTTTCTGAGACAGAATCTCACTCTGTTGCCCAGGCTGGAGTGTAATGGCGGGGTCTCGGCTCACTGCAACCTCGGCCTTCTGGGTTCAAACAATTCTCCTGCCTCCACCTCCTGAGTAGCTGGGATTATAGGCATGCACAACAACGCCTGACTAATTTTTGTATTTTTAGTAGAGACGGGGTTTCACCATGTTGGCCAGGCTGATCTCGAACTCTTGACCTCATGATCCACCCACCTTGGCCTCCTAAAGTGCTTAGGATTACAGGCATGAGCCATCGCACCCGGCTTAGAGTCCCTTCTTTCATGGCACTTACAAACTAGTAGGGAAACAGATAAGAAACAAACTATAAGGTAAGCAGATAAGAAACAAAAATTTATACTGTGTAGTCATGGTGAGTGCTATTTTTTGGAATACATCTCATAGGTTGGGGCCTAGCAGGATATCCAGTTGTGATTCAAAATCCAATTTTAATGTTTCATTGGATTCTTCCACAGGTACATTCTGGAAATAACCTCATTGAAGAAGTTTCACATTTTATTGCTATTTAAAGGGTTGAGGAGAGACTTCATCAAATATTTAAGATATGTGACTAAATAGCCTAAACTTTCTTCTTCTTGCTTAACAGCATTCAAGAAGTGCTACAGTGAAAAGACAGACGAAAACAGGTTCTGATCTGTTTCGACAGATCAAAACAAGAAAGAAATAAATTAACCTAGAACTCTAAGCTGCTGTTCTTTGATTCTCTCAAAATTCTTTCCATATCTATTAGGATTTGGCCTGTTTCACCAATGTACTGGACACAAATTTTGCCAGGAATGTCAATAAAGGCTTGTAACAGTGAGTTTCCTGCTCACATAAGATAGCAACATAATGTGGGCATCTTACAAGTTGGTCTGCCAAAGTAACTGACTAACATATCAATTCTCACTGCATTAAACAGCTCTTGCTTCTTTAGGGGTAAAGTACACACTTTAAAAAAAAAAAAAAAAAAAAGTCTCCCGGCCGAGCACAGTGGCTCACGCCTGTAATCTCAGCACTTTGGGAGGCAGAGGCGGGCGGACCACAAGGTCAGGAGTTTGAGACCAGCCTGGCCAATATGGTGAAACCCCATCTCTACTAAAAACACAAAAGTTAGGTGGGCATGGTGGCAGGTGTCTGTAGTCCCAGCTACTCGGGAGGCTGAGGCAGGAGAATCGCGTGAACCAGGGAGGCACAGAGGTTGCAGTGTGCCGAGATCATGCCACTGCAATCCAGAGCCTGGGCAACAGAGTGAGACTCCATTTCAAAAAAAAAAACTTTATAGTTGGGCTTGGCTATTTTAAAGCACATAGGTATGATTACAGGTATTTGGGTGAACTATATGAAATTGGTTAAATGTTAGCAATTCCATATAAACAACCTAATAAACATACACTTTGTACGCTTAAGGCAAACTGCATTTATTTTTAGGGCTTAGGGTTCTATAATTAGAACTCCCTAATTATATAAACGTCATAGATTTTACAGTTCTCTTGCTAAGTCAACACTTTCATACCTTTGCAAACGAAAGAATGCCTGTTTAGCAGAGGACACATAAATGGATGCCTGTCACTTCTCTCCTAGACAGCATCCCCTAAGAACACATAAGGAGTGTTCTGGGCTAGGCTCTCAAACAGAAACAAAGGGGCACAACAAAATTATACAATAAAAAGTGACTTGAACTGCTCTGTCTACACTCTCTGTCTACACAACAAGAATAAGCTTTCTAAATATGTTTATATAATACCTGGCTCACTAATGACCTCTCCTTTGCTTAAATAAACGAATGAACTAGAGAATCCTGAAACAGATCTGAGTATTTAAAAGCCTTTGAAGTTCCTTTCTTTTTTTTAAAGCAGGAACAGATTAGAGAGTAACAGATTATTCAACAAACAGGAGAAAAACTTAAAATTAGAGCCCCACCTCAAATCATAAACCAGAGTAAATCCTCGATAGATTAAATAATGTTTTTTATATATAGGTCTGGATCTGAAAAGCAGAAGTAAGAAAAAATAAAATACAATAAATGAGAATGTTTTTTAAAGTACCATAAAACAAGATAAAAACACAAATGAGCATTTAATAAATCTCAAGAGTGCAGATGTTCTGTCCTGAGTAAAAAAACAATGAAAAAATTCACAAAGGAAAATATTAATAAATCTGACTCTAAAAATATAAAATATCTGTATGCCAAAACCATTATGAACAGAATTGGAAAGCAAACAATTAGCTATGAGAAAATGTTTGCCAAAGTTGCAATGACAAAAGGTTATTCTACTCTTGAGTTCATGAGAAAAGAAACACTAAAAATCGAATTTTTAAAAATGAACAAAGGAAATAGCAAAGATGACATATAAATGGTTAATAAAGAGGACACATGAAAAAGATCAACTTTACAACTAATCAAATAGATGCAAATTAAAACAATGAAAGTTTAGTTACCAAATTGCCAAATGAAAAGAAATATGCATTTTTTACATAACTGCTGGTAGTAAATGTAAATTGATTCCACCTTTCTGGGGAGCAATCTGATAACGTGTTAAGACCCTTTAAGAATAGCACATATCCTTTGGGGTTAGGAATCCCTAAGACCCCACTCAGGTTCTAATTCCATAGAAAGATTCACAGGAATCAATATATAGTCAGTATTCACAGCTATGATTCATTACAGAACTTCCTAGGTTCCAGCCCTATTCCTTTCCTTTACTTCCCAGGCCTTGTTCTTGGCCACTCCAAGTACCCGCCCACCAAAGCCCTGAAGGGGACTGCCTCTTACTGACTTTATTAGATGGCTGTGAGGATATGAGGAATGTGAAAGGTGTAAAAATACAAAAGTTAGCCGGACATGGTGGTGGGGCCTGTAGTCTCAGCTACTCGGGAGGCTGAGGCAGGAGAATTGCTTGAACCAGGGAGGCCATTTCTTTCCTACAGAGTTGAAATCTTATCCTTACTAAAAAAGGGATTACAGGCGTGAGAGAAGCCTAGGAGAAGAGGTGGCAGAAAAAGAATACAGGGGAAAAGCACATGAGGGCATCTGTGTACTACACCCAAAAGACAGCGCAAGAATGCACCTGGGAAAGTTCATCTTAAAGAAACCAGATTTTGTGAAAACAAATAAATATTCTGGATTTTGCAGCTACTCATTACCTGTGACCTCAGGCAAATCTCTCGTCTGAAACCTCATCTTTCTGAGGACTTCTGAGCCCTAACATGTGGCAACGACCTGTGGGCCCCAGAGAGGCAAGTGATGACCTTCACTTGGGTCCAAACCCCTAACCCGGGGGGAAAGATACAAGGATGAACTGGGATAGGAGAGCACTGGAGAGGAAAGCTTGAGTACAAAACTACGTGTATATATGCGTTTTTCTAGGAAAGACTCCAGAGCTATCAATGGAGTCGGTGGCTCAAAGAGCCTGAAGACCTGAATCTCAGACATTTTCAGTTTGGAAACTCAAAGGGTCCAGGACTACCTAACCCAGCCCGCACCTTCCCTTTCTGCCCACAGCAAGTCAGAACCTCTCGAGACGGAGGAAGAGGAGACCAGGCCTCGTCCCTCATCTCGCTGCGCCTGGTCCAGGGGTTTACCTGCTCACAGGCTCTGGCCTGCGGCTCCTCTACTCGTTTTCCACCTTTAGGCGAACACTTCCCGGCCACGCACCAACGGCGCCGCCATATTGTCAAAACAACAACTTTATCGATAGCGTCTGCCGTAGACACAGACAGACGGGGGCGGGACCGGGGAAGGAGAGCAACGCAGTCCTCGACTCCCAGCAGCCCGCGGGGCGGGGCGGGGGCGTATGCGCGGCCGCCCTGGGATACGCCTCCCGGCCTCTGGCACGCCCTTCAGCCGCACTGGCGTTGATAAAGCTGCAGACGTCTGAGGCTCAAATTATTACAAATGTAGCAGACGGATGAACGCCGTTGATTTAGTGGCCTCAGCATCAACTAGGCGGCAGCTGGTGAAAAGAGCCCTGGGATACAGCCCAGACCGGATGGTTCGAATCCCAGCATAGCAACAACTGCGTCCTGTGGTTGGCAGGTCTGGACCTCTTGATTCCTAATGGACCGCATGATGAATGAGGCACCTTCTTCCACCATATTCCATAATCCTCTAGCCCTGGGGGCGGGGAGTGAAATTACATGGCCAAGAATAGATTTGGGGTAAGGTACTTTTCTCACCTGGCAAGTGTGCTGGGAGTCAGGAAAACATGATGCCTTCTCTTTTCCTAGAGGAGTTTGTATGTCCCGTGCCCCACTGCCACACAAGCAGCAAGTGTTTCATGCTTGTAATAAATCAACAAATCAATGAATTGCAAAGAACCAGTGGTGTTAAAGCATAATTTTCAAAAAGGTAGAGCCGGTTTAAAGGATAACTTGAAGAGCTCATATATGTGGTCATTCAAGGACACTGAAATGAATTTGCTAATTGTGCAAAATTGGTTGATATCCCATAGGATAGGAAAAAGTAATGTTTGGGAGCCATTTCTTTCCTACAGGGCAGAAATCATCTCTATCAAACAAAAATTCATCCCATGATTACAGTAGTTCCCCCCTATTCTCATCAGACATGTGCCAGGATCTCCAGTGGATGCCTGAAACTGGGACAGTACTGAACCCTACATATGCTGTTTCCTATGCACACACACCTATGATAAGGTTTAATTTGTAAATTAGACACAGTAAGAGATTAACAGCAATACCCAATAATAAAATGGAACAATTTTAACAATATGCTGTAATAAAAAGTTCCATAACTGGTCTCTCTCAAAATATCTTAACATACTGTCCTCACCCTTCTTATTGTGATCTGTCAATCTGATAATTGAGATGGCTACTAAGTTGGTAGCTATACAGCATAGATATGCTGGACAAAGGGATGATTCACAATGGTTCACATCCCAGGTGGGATGTGGCAAGATTTCATCACACTACTCAGAACGGCAGGCAACCCAAAACTTATTTAGGTTATTATTAGATTTATTTATTACTGAAATTTTTCACTTAATATTTTCGGACCTTGGTTGACTACAGGTAACTGAAACCTTGGAAAGTGTAACTGAAGATAAGGGACTACTGTATCCATATTCTACATTTTATTTTATTTTATTTATTTGAGATGGTATCTTTCTCTGTCAACCAGGTTGGAGTACAGTGGTGCGAGCTCAGCTCACTTCAACCTCTGCCTCCCAGGTTCAAGCAATTCTGCCTCTAAGTAGCTGGGACTACAGGCACACACTTCCATGCCCTGCTAATTTTTCTATTTTTAGTGGAGATGGAGTTTCGCCATGTTGGCCAGGCTGCTCTCAAACTCCTGGCCTCAAGTGATCCACCTGCCTCGGCCTCCAAAGAGCTGGGATTACAGGCATGAGCCACTATGCCCAGCCTGATATTCTATATTTTAGCTTCTATTCTTACAGAGATGAACAATAGCTAGTTAACAGAAAGGCAAGTAAAGGTACACAATCCTATAGCATTAGATAATCCCCTAATACTCCACCCAGGGGACATACAGTATTCTCTTTTGCCCATTTCCATCTCTTTCACAGTTTCCTAATAGTTTAACATCCAAATACCTTTTTATTCAAGGTGTGGTCTCCAGCATCAGCCTCACCTGGGAATTTGCTGGAAATGAAAAACTCAGCCTCTGCCCCAGACCTGCTGAATCAGACTCTGAATTTTAATAAGACCCCTAACTGATCCTAGACACATTCAAGTTGAAGACTCACTGTCCTAGAATATGAAAGCTAGAAAAGATCTAGCTCCTTTCTAGTCCAGTCTCTTCATTTTACAGATAAATAAACTGAGGCCCAACAGAGCTGACTGTCTTGCTCAAGGTCATAAGGCAAATTAGTCAAAGATTTGTGATTCAAAACTAGATCTCCAACCTGGCAGAATACTGTCTTTCTCGAGTTGCAGAATGAAAGATCATAAAGAGCTTAGAACTTCTAGTCCAATGCTCTTAATTCAAAGGCAAGGACACTGCGGTCCAGAGGTTGGACACAGCTTGCCTAAGGTCACATGTAGTTGATGCCAGAGCCAGGATTCCAACCCAGGTCCCACTCCGAACACCAGATGCTTAGTTTGAACTGATACCATGGAAACATTGACTGGCATATTAACCTGCCACACTTGATGCAGTTTAGCCTTCAGGTGTGTCATCCATATCTAACTAGAGTGCCCCTTTCTATAATTCACCCAAAATACAGACTCTAAACTTATTTTGGCTCAAAATCTCTTTCCTATTGTGAATTAAAGTTAACATTGACATTTCTAGAAGATTATTTCAAATAGAATTTTTCTAAAAGTCACTTACTTTACTGGAAAGTTGCTATTTTTACTTCAAAGATGACAGTGGCATGAAAGTAAATCCTTTTTACTCTCAAAGAGCTTGCTTGAATACATTATTAAATGAAAAAGACAAGTTGCTGGGCTATGTAGAACGTTGCCTCATTTTTTGTTTTTTGAAAAAGCAAAGGAAATAAAAGCAAGGCCTTTTTTAGTATATGCATGGGAAGAAATATAAAAAAACCATATCACAAACGGTTTCCTGTGATGACCTCTGGAGACAGCAGGGTTTTATGGATCTTTCAATTAATGACGTTTCTGTATTCTTTTGCTTTTTCTATTAGCTGTGTGGGGTTGAATAATGCCCCCCAAGGATATCCTGGTTCTACTCCCTGGAACCTGAGACTGTCACCTTATATAGCAAAAGAGACTTTGCACATGTTGTTAAATTAAGGCTGTTGAGATAGGGAGATTCTGGATTAGCCAGGTGGAACTATATGCAATCACAAGTGTCCATATAAGAGGGAGCCAGAGAGAAATTTGAGGGAGAAGAGGCAAGGTGACCACTGAAACAAGATGTTCCAATGCTGTTTTAGAAGATGAAGGAAAGGACAATGGGCCAAAGAATGTGAGGAGTGCATCTCATGCAGCTGAAGATAAAAAAGACAGGAATATACATTTTTCTTGTGTGATCCAGCAACTCTACTTCGGGTTAATACCCGAAAGGTTTGAAAGCAGGGCCTCAAAGAGATATTTGTACACCCATGTTTATAACAACATTGTTCACTATAGTGAAGAAAAAATACAAGTAACGGAAGTGTCCACCCATGGTTGAATGTATAAAAGAAAATGGTATATACACACAATGGAATATTATTCAGCTCTTAAGGAAGGAGATTCTGACACACACTACACATGGGTGAATCAAATGCTCAGTGAAATAAGGTGGGCAACTCGAAGGACAAATATTAAGGTTCCTCTTATATATGGTACTAAGAGTAGTGCAATTCTAAGATGGAAAGTAGAATGGCAGTTGCCAGAGGGTAGGGTAATGGTGAAGGAGTGGGAAGTTATTATTTAAGGGGTACAGAGTTCCAGTTTAGAAAGACAAAAAGAGTTCTGGAGATGGAAGGTGGGGATGTTTGCACAACAACGTGAGTGTACTTTATGCCACTGAATCGTACATTTAAAAATGGTTAAAATGGGCCAGGCGTGGTGGCTCATGTCTGTAATCCCAGCACTTTGGGAGGCCAAGGCAGGTGGATCATGAGGTCAGGAGCTCAAGACCAGCCTGGCAAACATGGTGAAACCCTGTCTCTACTAAAAATACAAAAATTAGCTGGGCGTGGTGGCGCATGCCTATAATCCTACCAACTTGGGAGGCTGAGGCAGGAGAATCACTTGAACCTGGGAGGAGGAGGTTGTGCTGAGTGGAGATCACACCATTGCACTCCAGCCTGGGCAACAGAACAAGACTCCACCTCAAGAAAAAAAAAAAAGGTTAAAATGGTAAATTTCATTGTATTTATTTTTTACCATAATTTTTTAAAAAAGAAAACAGGCCAAGTGCTGTGGCTCACACTTGTAATCCCAGCACTTTGGGAGGCCGAGGTGGGTGGATCACTTGAGGTCAGGAGTTTCAAACCAGCCTGGCCAACATGGGGAAACCCTGTCTCTATTAAAAATAGAAAAATAGGTATAGTGACGTACACCTGCAATCCCTGCTACTTGGGAGGGTGAGGCAGGAGAATTGCTTGAACTAGAGAGGCGAAGGTTGCAATGAGCTGAGATCATGCCATTGCACTCCAGCCTGGGCAACAAGAGCAAAACTCCGTTTCAAGGTTAAAAAAAAAAAGCAAACAGATTGTCTCCTAGAGCCTCCACAAGGCGTGAGTCCCTTCCTAACACCTTGATTTCTGCCCAGTGAATCTGATTTGGGATTCTCTTACATCCAGACTTATAAGAGAATAAATGCATATTTTTTAAGCCACCAAGTTTGTGGTAATTTGTTATAGCAGCCATAAGGAACTAATATAGAATTATAGATTCCATATTAGTTGGAGATTAGTTTTCTGGGTTGAGTTTGTATTAGTTTTGGGATTTTGTTTCCCAGAAAGAGTGTAAATATTTCTTTGTTAAATAAAGGAACTGATACCCATTCCCATTTAAGTTTATGCCTTTTAGAGTGTTGTTTGTTATTAACACTCTAACTTACGGATCTTCAGAAGTATTTCTTACTTGCCATCCTCTCATTAAAGGAGCCTAGCTCTCCAGAGTCACATCCATAGCATTATTTGTCCCCTATGGCCAGGACCCAACTTGAAGAGCAAGTCAGGGTCAAACAATACTATAGACCATAAACAGTCCTCAAAGAGGAAAGCCTTCTTCACATTTGGTAAGAGTTGTAATAGCTGTGATAGTGGGCATCCTTGTCTTATTCTATTGGTCCCTCACTTTAATGGGGTTCTACCTCTAATGTTCTACCTTTAAATATGATGC